GCAGGAGGTTCTTGTTAGGCTTCCAGGGTTTGTCTCCAATGGGATGATGCTCTGTCTGAACTCGTGGCTGGGCTGGCATCACCATGATTTTTGTTGTTGTCACTAGAGTCTTGAGTATCGTTATGTCTGTTATTGCAATTCATGTGATTGCGCCTGGTAGTAGCAGTAGCAACAATCAGTACTAAGCTACAAAAGAAAGACCGCATCCGAGACCCTGAACAAGAAGACCATGTTCCTGATGCTCAAAGAGATTAACCCAAGCTTGCAGCAGGCCGGAGTGTGTGGAGGAGTATGTTGTAGTTTGCCGTTTGAGAAGAGCGCTTTGGGTGTTGAGGGTGTGGGCTTTGGGGCTTTGGCTCTCGGAGTTTTGGGAGATTCGGTGCTTAGGGCTTATATGACAGTGATGATACGGCGGAGCCAACGTACTGAACGAGTACCTGGACTGTTTTGGGATGACGGTGCCACCAAAGCGAGGCATAAAGAGCAAGAGCAACTCATGCTTCGCATTATAATCGACAAATGTCCTTTCAGCGACCAGTTGAGTTGCCCAAGCCCAGCCGGGCAGGTCCCTAAACTCTGAATGCTGCTAAGCGGGTCATGAAATGAGGTTCACACCCTATAAAAGTCGTAACTGAAGATCTTGCCCAAACAACTTCCGCACCGCCCAGGAATCCTTCAGGGTTTATAGGGTTTAGGCAAGTTAGGGGTTCACCTACAATGTCAAGACGACTATTAGAGGATGCAAAAATTATTGAGAACAGTCGTGACAACAAGACGTCAATACAGTTAGCAATGCAGCAGAAATTCTTATCGTGACAACAATAATCGAAGAGTCGTCAGTTATCATGACAGTGGTATTCTGCAATACCTAGTAGGATGCTGAAGTAGTTGCAATGCTAATGATGATGTAGTCATAACGATGATCTCAGCCATCAGCATACCCTTCCCCAAGCACCAAACTCTCGACCTCAAACCCTCAACCATGCACAGGGTTCAGAGGGTAATGCTGCTGTAACAAGGAGCTCGAAACAGACTAAAACTGAAGCGTGCACCCCAAGACCCGAAGCTCCAAAACGTATAGGTCCTTAACCGTAAACTGTAAGCCCCACTTAAACCTAAAAAGGTAGAAAAAACAAAGGCCCAACACATATAGAAGGCTATTATTCTACACTTCTGGGGTCCAGGTAATCCTTCGCCCCTAACTACGGAATGCCAGCGAAGAGGCGGAGTTCGAAGCACGCTTCCGACGAATCGACGGCGACGGAAGCGGTTTGGTGCAGAGCTTAGGGTGGTCGTGGGGTTGCATTGTTTAATGGATTCGGGGTGTTATAGGGTTGTACCGGGTTCGGATTTAATAATAGGATTTTATTGGGTGTTGCAGGGTTAGGGTTTGCGAGTTCTGGATTTTTTAGAGTCTTAGAGGTGTTATTTACGGTTCTGGGTTTGTTGTTGTTAAGCTTTGTTATCGAGGTTTCAGGGCTCATGGGGTTTATAGCTTTAGGCGGCGGGTTCAGAGTAGAATGGTTTTGTGTGTTTGAGGCTCGGAGGGTATATAGGTCTCAAAGACTTGTAGGTTTGCAGGTGTTTTGGGAAGGATTTCAGCGGTGTTCGATTTAAGGGCTAGGCCGTATCTACAACCTCTCAAACGAGACTCGCGAACAAGACGCAAGCCTCGCAAAGCCTCCTCAGGCACCAAAACGCGAAAAGCCTCCAACCCATAAAAGGGACGTGGGAAAAGTCCCCACAAAGACTGCCTTTATAGGAACCCTTAAGAAACCCTGCTAGAACCCTCATGGAACTTCTAGACCCTGGAACCCTAAAATTCCAAATCCTAAACCCCTAAACCCTAGAAGCTTAAACCCTTACTAAACCCTAAGCCCTGAAGCCCTAAACCATGGTTGAAAGCCTGAGCCGAAACCCTTCCCAGATCGAATTCGACGAGTTTGTTCAATGGTCGGGCCCTCAGAATCCTTAAGGGTCCATGTACCCAAAATAGCATATCTACTTTGGGCCCAATGTACCTGTCTAGGCAGTACTTCAACGCCAAAGTATATACTATATTTGAGTGGTTGTCAAAATTAGGGTCCCTTTTTGGGTCCCAAATATAATACGAAAAGTATACTCGTGCGGTACATGGTGCCCTCAGAATGCCTCAGAATCCTGCTTTCCGCTCTTACTTTCCTAGTTGGTTTCAGAGCCAGAGTGTGGGGATTTTGAGGATTAGGGTTTAGGGTTTAGGGATTATGGTTTAGGGATTATGGTTTAGGGTTTATGGTTTAGGGTTTAGGGTTTAGGGCTTTGTGTCAGATGTTGGAAGCACGGAGTCTGCGGCTATTTTCAGCCCGAAGAACCCCCACAGCGCCAACGACTCTCAACGCAGACGCCTCAAAGCCCTAAACCCAACCCTAAGGGTCCATGTACCCAAATAGTAGATACTTTGACCTTAAAGTAGTCCCTATATATGTACTTTGGGGCCTAAGTATATACTATTTGGGTACATGGATCCTTGGGACCCTTGGGGCAACCTCGAGGCTGACCTACCTTACTGGACTTCATTATAAGGGGGTTTATATGGGATATCCCTATCCTAATTTTTGCTTATGTGCCTTATTAATGACTAGAATAGGGTGTTGGGGGTCCGTTTATTGCGCTACTTGCGTTTGGGGTGCGTGGGAATGTCTCTGCTGCGTTTGGGGTGCGTGGGAATTTCTGGGATGTTTCGCCTAGCCTTGCTTACTGGATGTTGGCTTCTGGGATTGCAACAGGAATGATAGCAATGACCGTACTAATTATGATAATAATGATAGTTCTCTGCGGCCCTCGGCTGCAGAAGCGTCTCGATCTGGAGCCAGGGCACCTGAGCTGATGTGACGGGTTGTGACTTTCGATTGCTGTGCGTTACAGCGAGCTGCCGCTGTGCAGGTCTCCGGAAGGATGTTTTAACAGCAGGCTTGCGAGGTAGACTACGCGCAGTGAGCAGTTACCGCGGCCTTGCACTTCAACTTGCATGGCAGCTTGGGGATATTCCGGCCAAGCTTTATAATTTTAGGGGAAAGAAACAGTAAAGGTAGCTATCGGAACTCGAGCGGGACGGCTACTGAGGGACTCTTGACACCGGCATCGTGCTGCACGGCTGTGAGGACGCACATGAAGGACGAACCGACGTTGACTCGGAAGACATACTCCATCAGCATCTCGTCCGTGCACTTGGGCGGCAAGCGACCCCATCGTCGGCGGGCCCAGGTCTTGAGACGATTGTTCTCCGACTCGATGTCATTGGTATGGTAGCCGTCCTCGTTACGCCATTCCTTGGAGTGGTTCACCACGGCGTGCTCATCGAAATGGGCCAAGGAGTTGACCACGCTGGCTGAAGGAGCCCAACCATCAGTCACGGGCTTCGTCCCAGGCTTGATGTGATGCTTGATGACCTTCTTGAGCTGCTGGGCGCCTCGAGGCTTGCCCTGAAGGGCCTTGCCGCTGACAGGCAAAAGCACGGCAGCCACGCGCTTGGTCTGACTCATGTGCGTGAAGACCTCCGCAGGCCTTCCTGCGGAAGCTTGTCTTCCACAGACAACAGCCATCCAGATCCACCTTGTCTCGCCTTTGTCACTGCCTGCACTTGTCTGGACAGCGGGCTTTTTCCAGATGGTTTGACCAGGCAATCTCTTCATGGTGTGGACGCTTCGCCCTCGCTGCTGCGCGGGCTTCTTCATGATGCCTGCACGCTGTCGTCCCCAAGCTGTCTCGTCCCAGGCCACCACGAATCCTTTGCCGCCAATGACATCCATCTTCTTGGCCCGAGTGTAGTCTCCCATGGCTTTTTGCACCCTTTCAAGCCAATCTCCGAGAGTGTGGTAAGGTGAGCTAACGCCATACTGACTTCGCATTGTGGTCATGATTTGACTCCATGGCTGATTGTGGGTGCACAAGGCGGTGAAATGAATCCAAGCCATCCAGAGGTGAGATCGTACCCCATGTAGAGCTCCGTTCGCCTCGGGACTGGTGCGCGTGCCACAGCGCAGACAGCGGAAGTGGTAGCGACACTTAGTGCCTGCCCGATCGTTTCGCACTGTCTCTTCGAACTGGACTTTCCCTCCACAACGTGCTTGGCTGCAGGAAGTCTGCCAGCTGAGGAGACCGAAGCTGTAGAGGATCATCGCGGCTCGCAAAAAGAAGCTGTCGGTAAAGCCGTGAGGCCAACTCACTTGCTGCTGAAGCATCTGCGCGAAGGAACTGTCTGTGTCGGTCTGCTGCTGTCTGTGAAACTGCGCAGCGAACTCCTGGGGGGTCAACGTGCCTGGTAGCTTTGCCTGAGGGCGGGCTCCGCGTTGGTGAGGCCGCACAGTCGCCGAAGGCATGATAGGCTCTACACCGGTCGACTAACTGGCGAGACTCCTCCAGGGCCGGAATGGCAGCTGGCAGAGAGATGCTTGGAAGCTATGCCAGCTTGCAGACCTTGCCTTCAGAGACTCGAGCGCTGAGCATGTGCAAGATACGTGCAGAGACCACTTTTCTGGTTCTAGACGTCAGTCAGGGGTGCACGGCGCGAGCAAGCGCAACAGTAAAAAAACTGGACTGAAAGCGTGCTGTGTGCCTGAAGTCTGCAAGCTATCTCCTACCACAAATCTAGAAAGCCTAGAGATTGAAATACAAAATCACTAAAGCCTAAGTAAACCCACAATCTAAAGCGCAGGACACACAGACACCTGCAGTTGGAGCCATGAGTTGGCAAGGGGCATGCATCTGCACGCACGTGTCTCTTGACACGAAAGGCTTCCAGAGTTTATCTGAATTTTGTGAAACAAATAATAACAAGAATATGAATAATAACAATAATCATCTTCATAATAACCAGAACAATAATAAGACTAGCAATCAAAGTAAGACTAACAACAAGGATAATAAATGCGAATAATAACAACTATAATAATAATAACAATAATAATAATAATGACGGTTAAAAAAAGTCGGGAGCTACGCTGCAATACAGGAGTTGGCTCTCAATCCTCGTCTGGCTGCTTGGAATCCATCTTCTTGCGCTTCTTGGCCTCGCGCGCCTTCTCCCCACGTTTTTGCTTGGTCTCATCGGCCTGCCTGGCGGACAGGTCCAGCCACAGCTCGTCAAGGGTGATGTTGGCGAAGTTCTTGAGAGCATCGTGAATGGGGTCCTCGCTGGAGATGTCCTGTGCACGAGGCAGCTTGAAATGCAAGCTGTCGGTTCCCCACAGGAACTCACCGATCTCTTCCGGCACGGCCTTGGCCACAAGACGGAAGTCTCCGACGCAAAGCTTGTGCCTCATCTTGGTCTGCTCCTTGGCGGAGAAGAGACCCCATGTGCAGCGAGAACTTGTTGCGAAACACTGGTCCGCATCCGGTTGAAGGGAACGAGACTTGTCAGGCACGGCCTTCTGCATAATCCGTCTGGCGATGGTCTGATCCTTGATTCCAGTCTTCTGTGGCACGGCCGGATCGAAGTTGACATCTTTGCACAGAGTCTCTTCTTCCGTGCCACCGTACGTGTCCTGAAGCTTGCTCTGCAGGAGGAGCTCGTCGCTGTTGTCTGTGTGCAACTCCGCGGGGGCCTGCATCCACGTTTTGTCTGCTTCCAGCCCTGCTAGGACGTTGCCGAAACCTTCTAGCATCTCGAGGCAGGTGAAGGCACGCTGGACATGCTCTTTGGTGACGGACAGATCCATCGGCGCGCTGGAGGAGCTGGTGGTGGCGGGCAACCACAGAAGGTCCCAGAGGCATATGCAAGCGGAGAGCTGCGCAAGCTTCCAGGGGCTGGTCCCCTTGGCGGCCGCAGCTGCGATGTCCTTGTTTTGACGAGCAGCCACCACTTGGATCTGGTAGAAGGTGGCGTAGGACAGAAAAATCTCCTGCTTTGGGAAAGCGCTGGCCATTAGTGGTTTTATTAGGATAATCGTAGCTCACGAATATTACAGCCCCTCCCACTACCTGCATTTACTTAAGGGCCCGAAAAAAATAATAACCGGCAATAACTATATGAGAACAACGGCAAAGATAACAGTCCAAGTCAGAAGAGGAGTTACAACCACCAGAGACATAGAGCACAACAGGAGCCGAATCAGTTGCAACACCACCAAGATCAACGGCAGCGGCAGCAGCAGGAGCAGCAGCAACAACAACAGCGACAACAACCACAACTGCATCACCACGACACCAACACCAACAGCGACATATCGGTCAACGACAAGGACCCTTAACTTCGTTGCAATCATCCTGTCTGGATGTTCTTTGGATTTCATGTTAACTTCGTAGCAATGATATTGTTATGGAATCACATGTGATGATTCTAATGCTTAATCAAAGACAAACTATGTAAGGATCATTGAAACCGTAAACCCTAAATCGACAGTTGTCGGAATCTGGCCTCACATTCCAACACAGCACGCAAAAGCGAATTCGAATGGGCTTGGACCGGATCGCAGCAAACAGCTATGTCTTGAAAATACACACAACACAACACGCAATTTAAAAGGATAAATATTAGGGGGGAGCCTAGATTTGTATGAGTTGTCATAGGACGAAGATTACATGTAATACTAAACCTAAAAAAGTAGGCCTTAGGGTTTTAGGACTTAAGGGCTTTAAGGCCTTTAAGAGGCTATAAGGGCTTTAAGGGCTTTAGACTTTAGGGCTTTAGGGCTTAGGGCTTCAGGGCTCAGGGTTGCGTGACTGCTGGCCGGCCTGGATTTCGAGATTCTGGAAGGGGGGGAGAAGACTTCCTTTAATGTTACGGGGAAGGGATTAAAGTCGAACAACTACCGTGTGCCTGGGCAGCGTCGTCGTGGAAACCGATGGGTCGATGGCTTTGTCGGAAGTGACGCACAAACCGATCTGCTGCGTCGTAGACGCTGAGCTCGGCAGGAATATCAAAGTCGCGATCTCCGAGGCACCACTGCGCATCCCAGCCATGATCTCGCCGAGCTAGGCGAATGGCAGTCTCGACGCCGTCGGGGAGCGTGTACTGCCACCCGCGCTCGTCAGGAAAGTAGAGCACGTCCGACGGCGCATCCTGTGACTCCATGAGCTCGTCCTGGAAGTAGACCTGTGCTGCCTGTGGAGAAGTCAGGTGCTGTTCCAGGCCTAAGGCTGTCTGCACCAAGCGGGGAAGCAAGCACCACTTCTGCTTGGATGCCACGCAGCAGCCTGCAACGCGAGCGTGTGGCTGGACAGGTTCGCCTGAGACTAGGAACATTCTCATCCTCGTCGCACAGCCATGATCTCCACGGATGCCGCGGGCCATTTCGACAGCAACCGCACTGTGAATGTTGCCTACGACTGATGAGCTGACAGCAGGGGCACCCTTTCCGCCATGGACACCCATGGTCTTCGTCTCGAAGGTACTCTGACCGGTCTGCATAAGCCTATTGGCCCAGCCGGCAGCTGGCGTCTGTCCTTGTGTCTCGGCATTTGACTTCCTCGATCCTGGCGCATCTAGCAAGGCTAGGTCTTGAAGGAAATCATATGCCTCGTCGAGTACAAGGGCTTGAGAGAACCATAAGCGACCTGGAAGGCCCCTCGCCGCCAAGACTCGCAACTCTTGGTCGTGCACATGCCCATGAGATCGAGCCTGATCTGCTGGGACAGAACAAAGCTTGCTGGGCGCTGTGTCTCGCACGGCACGCACCTGGTGAAAGTCCCCCGCGCAGCGCTGCTTGGAGCGCTCGAGTGTGCCACCCAAGTAGGCTACTGACCAGATCTGCAATGGCTCCTCCAGGCAGTTGTCAGCGCCAGAACCTCGTCGTACTTTGCGCTTGCCTCTGCCGTCAACAGATTGAAGCGTGTCTTCATCCTGCTCGCAGTCGGTCTCTTCACTTGCAGCGGCTCGGGCGGACGAAGCTGCATATGCTTGCTTGGTTTTCAAGACAGCACCCCACAGTTCCTCAGCCATTGCGTCAGCCTTGCTGCACAAGCTCTCCATCAACGCTGTTAGCTGGCTCTTTCTGGTTTGTGAGTAGTTGACATTCAAAACCCAGATAGCGATGGGCATTGGACTACCCCAAACATTGATGGAGGCACCGTTCGACAAGGTACCCAGGGCGGCCAGCAAGTACATGAAAATCGGCACTGGAGGATGGCTCAAGCGGGCGCTCAAGGCGGACACTGCTTGGAAGCCTACGTGTCCTGCGATGGAGCCGCCGTGAAGGTTCCATTGCTCTTTCAACCAGCTCCATCCACGATGCATGGTGCACTGGTACTGCGGCGGCTGTGGCACCGGCATGCTGGCACGTGGCAACAGACCCTACATGTCTACGTTCGCTTGGACGGCGCAGCTAAGCGGCGCAGGCAGTACGCTTTATAGAAATCAAGCCACATGTCTGATGAACAGCAGCAGAAAAGGCACGAAGCTGCAAGTGCGTCAGTTGCAGGAACCGTCCTGACACTAGATGCTGTCGAGGCACACGAAAGGGAAAAGAGGCGCCACACCATCTTCTGCGCGTGTAACAGGAAGCCGGAGGGCAGTTGCTCGCCGCTCGGCAATGCCCGTCGACCGCTTTACTACCCGCACATATGCATATACACATATGTATATATATATATATATATATATATATATATTTATACATAAATACAGTCGCATATGTACATGTAAATATGAATAGATATACATACATGTGTAAATGTAACTGTGTATAAACAAAATACACAAGCACACACAATACACATCACTATATGTATATATATATATATATGAGTATACACACGCACGCGCATATGTATAGATGTATATGTATATGTGTACATATGTATGCATATGTATGTATACATCCATCTACATGTGAATGTACGAACTATATGTACATACTAGATATGTGCATATACACCTATAAATATATATACATATATACATAAAACTTTACAACTTCAGAACTTTCAGAACTTATAGAACTTTTAGAACTTTTAGAACTTATAGAACTTATAGAACTTATAGAACTTATGGAACTTTTAGAACTTTTAGAACTTTTAGAACTTTTAGAACTTTTAGAACTTATAGAACTTTTAGAACTTTTAGAACTTTTAGAACTTTTAGAACTTTTAGAACTTTTAGAACTTTTAGAACTTTTAGAACCTTTAGAACTTATAGAACTTTTAGAACTTTTAGAACTTATAGAATTTTTAGAACTTCCAGAACTTATAGAACTTTTGAAACTTATAGAACTTTTAGAACTTTTAGAACTTTTAGAATTTTTAGAACTTTTAGAACTTTTAGAACTTTTAGAACTTTTAGAACTTTTAGAACTTTTAGAACTTTTAGAACTTTTAGAACTTGTAGAACTTATAGAACTTGTAGAACTTTTAGAACTTTTAGAACTTATAGAACTTTTAGAACTTTTAGAACTTTTAGAACTTTTAGAATTTTTAGAATTTTTAGAACTTTTAGAACTTTTAGAACCTTTAGAACTTATAGAACTTTTAGAACTTTTAGAACTTTTAGAACTTGTATAACTTTTGAAGCTTTCAGAACTTGTACAACTTTCAGAACTTGTACAACTTTCAGAACTTTCAGAACTTATAGAACTTTTTGTAGAACGTCTATAGAAGTTGTAGGACTTTTGAACTTGTTTAGTAAGACGGTGTGTCAAACACCCACGCGCCCCAAATGCATCGAACGCGTTCCCACGCGCCCCAAATGCAACTAACCCCGTTTATTAACCCTAAAACGCCGAGCTCCGAACCCCAAATCTCTCAGTAGGAGGATTTTCTTATCACTGCACCCTTGCCCTCGCCTGTTTTTGTTTGGACGCACGTTACCGGGCACAAGTTTCAAGATCTTGGGGGTTGAGGGTTCAGTTACCAACAGGCGGTTTCGTTAGTTTTGTTTCCGAGTAGGGGGTCATGGATGGTTACATCGTTCCAGCGAGCGGTTTGCAACAGGTCCTGGCAATTAGAGCTGGTAAGAATTAAGTACTAGTAGCTTGTTCAATCTCTCGGTGTGGTCAGTCTGGTCCCTCGAAACTTTCAATACCTACCTATAGTCTCCATTGTAGTTCCTCTTTTTGGTTATCCAATTTTATGGTTGGGACCCTATAATAGAGATTTTCGTTAACCAAAAAAAGGAACTACAATGGAGACTGTGGGTAGAACTCAAGCCTCTAAACCTCAAAAGCCTGAAGCGATGAAGCTCTGCATCGCGAACCCCAAGCCGCCAAACCTTTTCAGCCCAAGTAGAATTCGCCACCGAGGGTCTACGATGACGAGGCGCCACCACCCTGATTCGTGTGGATCTTCGGGCTGTCCAGTTCGGGACAAGCCTTAGGTTTGGAGCCTGAATAGGTTGCTAATGCGAATTTTGATTTCCTTCAAACACAACTACAGTATATAGGATACCTATTACTTCTTGGAAATTTGTCATGGCTTCTATGTTAAGCTGGCTTCTCTTCGGTCTCGATGAACCATTGTCTGGAGCGTCTTGTGCTTTTGGCTTGATGGAAAGCTCTTCTTCGAGACAGACTATAAGTACAAAAATTCGTGGGGTCCTGGCTCCCTTTCTAAGCATAATAGAGGGGTCTGAATACCAAGTATAAAGCAGGCATTCCAATTTCGGCTCTGCTCTGCTTCTGCGTTGTTTTCGACTCCTCCTCCTCCTCGGTGGGAACTCCGGTTGGTCCGGTTGCAGAGCTGCAGCTGCCCGCTTCTGACTCCTGCCCTGTGATTGCTTTTAGCATTGGAGCCCCAAAACCCTGAGCAACATGACCCTTAGCCATTCCTGGCCTATGAACCGTGCACGTGCAGGTCGAAGTCGTTGGCGGCGCAGAGAAGGTTAAGCGCACCTTCGAGGACGACTTGAGTTTCGATAAGGGTTCCTTCAAGGGTGCGTTCAGGGTTTCTGAGGAGGGTTTCCACAAAGTGTTCGGTTTATGAGTTCCAGACCTTTGGGCCTTTCGGTGTATGTATGGTTTAGGGCTTAGGCTGTTGCATTTGAGTTCAGGGCCTTGGGCTTCAGGGTGTAAGGTTAAAGGTCGAGGGATGAGGCTTGTAAGCGGGGGCTGAGGGTTTGGGGTGTCCACTTTAGGGGTTACGATTGAACATGGTGGTCTTCGGGTTCAGACTGAAACATGGGATCCTGGCATTTTGTAGTTTTCCTGCACCTGTATTCCAGGTATTCACGGTTTAGGGTTTATTGTTTCCATCAATCCGATAAGCCCAATCTAACCAAGATGCATGCATGACTGATGTGTTTTCAAACTCCCCAAGACCACAGGCCCCAAACGCTGAACGCCACCACCTCGGGACTCGGACAAGATTTATACGGATTTAAGTTTGAAATCCAACCTGCTATCCTAAACTTGGGTGTAGACCCAAACAATTATGGCTCATGTTCATTGGGGTCTATCGGGCTGCTCCCCTTGTGTGAGTATAATTATATAATATAGTATAGCATGCCCCAAAACCATAATGATTAGAGTCCGGGTCTCTGTGGGAGTGCGCTTTTTGATACTTTTCACACGACCCGAAAATCAAAAGCATGAAGGCATATGCTCAACTGAATTATTAAGGCGCCTACATGTCGAAACCTCAAGTTAGAACCCCCAGGACTCTGCCCCTAAGCCGCAGGAGTTGGCCGGCGACATGGATGTCAGTGAAAGGCTCATAGAGCCGGGGCGCCTACTCATACTAGATGCGACTCCGAAACCCCTATACCCTAAAGCCCTAAACCTATAGACCCTACACCCTAAACCCTGAACCTTAAACCCTGAATCCGAAACACTATAAAACCGAAAAGTCAAAAATCTGACGCCAACGCTGCATCAACCCATATCTTTACAATCAGAAGACCTAAAGCTCCTATCCCCAATATCCATGATCCCCAACCCCTTATAAACCTTATCTTCAGAGATGCCAGGATCCTTTTGGCGGTCTTCTAAAGGCAATGTCTTCGAGGATGTACGTTTTGGAGGATTTAGGTTTGGGGTGTAGGTTTTGGAGGATTTAGGGGTCAGGTGGAGCTTGTTTTTTGTGGAGGGTTTAGGGCTTAGGAAAATCGCTAAATTACACCTCTGAATCCTAAACCCTAACCCCTAAACCCTAAACCCCTAGACCCCTAAACCCCTAAACCCCAAACTGTGTAAAGGCTTTCTAAGTGTTGCTGGTCGAGGCTGGGGCTCGAAATTGCACACGTCCGATCAGAGAGACGGCCAGAACCTCACCCCTCATAGAACCGTTGAAGGTACCCCTAGCAGAAAACCCACAAACTCTAAACCCGGAGCCCTGAACCTCTAAACCCCTTAAACCTTAAACCCCACCAGTCCTAGAAACTCCTAAGGTATACTCTAAACCCCTAAAGCCGTAAACCCTAGCCCCCACAAACCCTACAAACCCTAACTTATTGCTACGGTTGCTTCAATATATATTAGGCCCCAAATAGTGGCCCTATTATAGACAGTTACTGTGTGGGGGCAGTATCCAACCCTAAGGTATTGCTACGATTGCTTCAAAGAGATGCTGGACTCCGAAACGGTGCCCTGCCTTGTCCGAGCCGGGGGTTCGAGAAGAAAGGACATGTTCAACGAACTCTTAAAATTCTGAGATCTTAGAGGTCCTGAAGGGCAGAGGGTTTAAGCAGTTAGGACCTCCACGACTCTAGGAGTTTAAGAGTTCCCTAAACCTTTCCTCTTCGGGTTTTAGGAGGCAGGGTTTAGGGGTTTTGAAGCGAGGGTATTTGGATTTTCATGGTTTGGAAGGCTTTTCGCTCGGGTCTAGGGCTTTGAGGGTTTTCTTTTAGCCCTGAAGGGTTGAAAATGGTGTAGGTGCTTAGGAGTGGTTCGGATATATGGGTGGTTGTCAACATTATGGCCCCTTTTCGGGTACCCTAAATCTTAGGTGCCGTACTATCAGAAGGACCCAAAACGGGACCCTCATTCTGACAACCGCCCATATATGTGTGTTCTTTCAAGGGTTCCTAAAGCGTCCTATTCGGGATCTTACGTTTGTTGAACCGGTATGTGAGCATAGTACAGTAGGGTCAATTGTCTTTGTGTAAGGCCTTCTACAGGTTTCTCATGCCGTATAAGGCGTTTGCAGGATATATGAGGGTCTTGTGAGGGGGTGCTTGGAGCTAGGGACAAATGGTTATAGGGTCCGTAGAATAAGGATCCTAGCATGTCGGTCCATTGCTTTCTGCGCCGACAGCTATAGATCCGAAGCTTTTGATCCTGACAGTATTAGTATGAAATCCGAAGTCTTTACTATGAGGGACTGAAGAATTGGCAAGCGTATTCCGTAGGCTGCCAATCATGTTATGGTGTAATATACCCTATAGGCCTTATTTTGAGGCTCAGGGAGATGCAGTACGCATATAGGTTGTACTTCGCACGTATAACTGTCTCTACCTGTAAACTCCTTACTAGAGCTTACGGCAGGTGGACAACTACCCCACCGAATGTGCGACGCTCCCCAAAGAGCAAGCTTGCACGCTGGTCTCTCGACAAGATCGGTGGTTTGGACTTTACTTAGGATCAAAGGAGAAAAGGAGGGGACCCCTATCATATAATGGCTATATAATGGCTATATTAAGGGTATATACCCAGGTGTCCTTATGAAGGGTCCCTCTCCTTTTACCCTTGGATAGGAGCTTCGGGGTTCCCACAGAGTTCCGAACTCTCTGCAGCCTATGCATGCCCATAGGCTCCAGAGTAGTTCCTTGTTGAGTTTACGTTATAGGATTCTAAATTCTAAATATGAGCCCCAAAAAGGAACTACTATGGAGCCTATGGGTAAGCAGAATGATGAAGCTCTTGTTCCTTTCCAGAGCCTTTACCTAAGAAGCTGCCTCCCCTTCCACCGCCCTGAGCTTGGGGCTTTCGCCAGCTCAGAAGCAACAAGCACTAAACCTGAAGACGCGAAAGTCGCACAACATCCAAAATCGATGTTTCCACAAGTCTCGTGTTGAGCATTTCAGCTTTTGGGGCTCAAGCCGATTTTTTTCATGGGGGTTCGGGCCCTAATGGGTTTATGGGCGTGGTGCCAGCAATATTCAGATCGTCCACATCTATTCGAAGATGCTCAATCGTAACACTGTGAAGCAACCCAAGCCCTTGAGAAATTTGCCAGCTACCATAGCCTGACTGCCTGTGCTCTTGAGAGCTCAACTGGTCTCAGCTCTGTCGCTGTTCTGGGCATGAAACTTGAAATACCATGTACAATGGTTCGCCAGCAAGTCTCGACAGAGTCCCCTCTGAAGTGACATCCCGCTCTTTTTGCGAGATTTCGCCCAAGAGCTTCAGTAGATCCCCTCGTCCGGCATCAAAGACGGTGGAAGCAGCAATGCTCAACCTTTCGTGCGTGTTCTCTACACTCTGTGGACAGGTTTTCATAGAGCTGTAGCCAGAACAGCCTTGCTTTTCATGGACAAGTTGGACCGTCTTTGTCCTCCTGTCCGTCCTCCCTGCCCGCAGTCAAGCTCATCGCCGTCAGAATCGCAAGCAGCTCCGACGGTCATGGTAGTTCTAGTCATCATTTTCGTCACCACCATCGCAAGTCGTCATCACCACCGCCGCCACCACCACCACCACCACCACCACCACCACCACCACCACCACCACCACCACCACCACCATGTTCTGCATCTCTCTGTCCGTGTTTATCACCCTCAAGCTGCAGACCGTAAGCCCCTCAGCCTGTAGTTCTTGCAGCTTTGAAGCCACCGACACCCTGCAACGCAATCTTGCAGGCACAGATCCTGGTCACCACCCTTGACAAGAAGCGTTTCGACAGGTGCTTTTAGACGGTAGACACTAATTTACTAGTTGGACTGAATCCAAGAATCGAGAATCGATTTCAAGAGTTGCAAGACTGTAAGGGCGCATGTTGCTATCAACTGTAGTGCTCGCTGCAGTAGAACCTAGCTTGTTATTGAAGACAGGATTGTTTACTCCCAATGTCGAGCCTGCAATGGACGCGCAATTCAGTGAACTCTGTACACGGCCAGGAATTAGAGGGTTACCACTCACTACGTTCGCACAACCTTTGCAAACCTTGCCAGAGACAACAGGTGCTATCTCATTGAGTCCTATACACAGTTCCAAACATCGCTGTTCAAAGCGCTGTACAGCCCTAGCCCTAGATTAAACCCTAAACATGTAAATCCTAAGCCCTAAACCCGAAACCCTAAAGCCTTAGACCCTAAACTCAGTTAGACAAGCTAATTTTCCATGAGGGCTCCAAACGTGCCTCGGCTAAAGGTTTACGTAGAGTCCTACAGTTAAGGGTTTTGTGGTGTGAGGCTTTAGAGGTTAGGGTTTAGGGGCTTGGGATTTTGGGTTTTGAGGTTTTGGGCTTTCTGGTTGCAGACCCTAAACTCTAAAGCTTAAGCCCCAACCCTAAACCCCAAATCCTAAGCCTTAAGCCCTATAAACCCTACTCTTTCTAAAACCCTAAACCCCAGCCGTTTAGCCATATACAAGGAATAAACTCTAAACCCTAAACTCTAAACCCTAAATCCCCAACTCTAAACCCTAAATCACCAACCCTAAACTCCAAACCCTAAACCCTAACCCTAAACCCTAACCCTAAACCCTATACCCTAAACCACAAGGGCCTTGATCTCCTTCTGGGAGCCCTGGAGGCCCATCGACCGCAAGTTGTGCTCGAAGGGATACTTCAGGAAGGGTGCGTGAGACCCTCTGACCACGAACCCGTTGATGCTGCATGGTTACTACCAAGCTCTGCTTTTTATGCTCGGGGCTCGGTGCACTCCCTCGGCGGTGCCCCCAGGCAAGCATCGCGTTTTGGAGGCTGGAACTCAGCGCGACCAGTCTGCATATTTGGCAGGGTACCTTTGGCGTACCTTGACAAGGTGTCGGCCTCTGGTGTGGGTGGGCCCTCGACCCGCAACAAAGAACGACCGTTTCATGTAGTGCAACACTGGCAGGGCAGGGCAGGGCAGGGCATCCAAAAGTCCGCCACTATAGGTTAAAAAAGCCACATTGAGGTTTGTAGTTGAGGTGTCAAAGACGAATCCGAAACCCGAACCACTTTTTACGTCTCTTGAGCTGGAGACGGGTTTTCGGATTTAGGTTTTAGGATTTGCGATGCAGGGAGGTTTAGGGTTTAGGGGTTTAGGGTTTTAGGGTTTAGGGTTTAGGTTATAAGGACACAGGGCCCTCATTCAGCTTGGGTTTCGGGAATGATATTTTGGACTTTATGAACATGGCTTGATCTGGAACTGCGGAGTTTCATAAGTTTTAGTGCTTGTGGGCTTAATTTGGGTCTTTTATAAGGTCTAAAGTTTAAAGAGCCTGGAAAAGCTCTGGGCTTATCATTATCGTGAACCTGGTGCAGGTACTGGGACACGGTAGACGTGCAAAACAAGGCGCGCTTGTCTTGAGAGATATGTGGACCTGAAAGGAGCTTATACGCACACGGATTTCATAGATAATGAGATTTCCCGCAAAGGCGCCTTGAAACCGGAGAGGCAGGCTGTTTTGGTTCACGCGTATATGTGGTGCCACTGATGCACAAGACTCTGCACATTAGCACCTTCTTGCTGCATCCCCCGTGCAGGAGCTTCATTTAGCCTAAACCCTGAACTACTTAAACTTTAGCCTGAAACCCTAGCATTTACCTAGAGCGGACGCACATCCAGTAGCGCTGATGTCTATCATTGAGCCGTGGTCGAAGCCCGTGCCCTTATCAGCATCTTTAATCATGAAAACTCAAAGTGGGAAGATATTCAGTGTAATCTTAGGGTTTCCAGTCTTGCAGGCTACAGCACCCATCTCTGTAGCATGAGTGCGTAGCAGCTCAGATACTGCATAGTTCTAGTGAGTTCACAAAAGACTGCCAAGGATTATTGGGTGACTGTCTATTATTCAAGGTGTCCGAGGGAAGCATGGTCTACCTATAGTCTCTATTGCAGTTCCTCTTTTTGGTTAACCAAAATCTCTATTATAGGGTCCTAACCATAAAATTGGATAACCAAAAAAAGGAACTACAATGGAGACTATAGGTAGATTCCCCAGTAGTACCGTTCTTGTCTTTGTTTATCTTACCTTTGGTTAGTAGGGAATGGAAGAATGGTAGTAATAGTAGTTACAGTTGTACCCCATTGTTGCATTCCCTACTAACCGAAGGTAAGTTATTGTGACACTCGCGTTTCAAATCTGACGTCATTTCAGGGCTGCGTGCGAGCTCGGGCCTTTGTCGTTAAAGATTCATTCTGAGGGCTTTGAGCTTCTTTCGAGGCTTTCTTGGGTTCTCGGTATGCAAGCACGCGGAGTTTCTTTGCGTGCCGCTTTATGCTACTAGGCTGTAATTGAAGGTTGGAGCTAAAGATAGCTTTATGAAGGTCCAGCTTTCAAAGTTTACAGGGTTCAGAGCATGTTCATACTTTATACGGTGCTATCATCAGGGTTTACGGCTTTGGACTCTGGCGCCCACAACCAAGACCGAGGCATGATTCTAAACCTTCGCCGAGGTGATTCTCCCAAAGCAGTTGCTGTAACACCGCAAGGTTTTAGCACCAGACATAAACCCTAAACCCTAAACCCATAACCCATAAACCCCTAAGCCTGGTATAAACCTTTTCAAACTCCTCAGCTTCAGCCCCAAATTCGGACGGAACTAGGCTTTAGCATTCGTTACCGAAGACAACCCTAAACCCTAAACCTTAGTGTAGGAGCCTGATTAAGAAAATCTGGGCCTATAACCCCAAAATAGTAAGACTCATATGAGGAGCCCTAATAAAGGCCCAAGGTTTCTGAATCAGGTTCCTACATGAGGGCTGTTTTGGCGGGGTTTAGAGTTCAGGAAGGCCTACCCTAAACCCTAAACCCCTACAGTAGAAGCCAGAAAGTTGGAACATGATTAGCCTTATGCCCTTAAAGTAAAGTATAGGGAATCCCAGCATGAATCGTCCTAAATCCATGTTCCAACTTTCCGGGGTTCACTATAACCCTAAACCATAAGAAAAACCCTAAACCCTAAACCCTAAACCCTAAACCCTAAACCCTAAACCCTGAACCCTAAACCCTAAACCCTAAACCCTAAACCCTAAACCCTAAACCCTAAACCCTAAACCCTAAACCCTAAACCCTAAACAGCTCAGGGCGCAGTCACCTTCGACGACTTCCTGGAGCTGCTGGATTTCGAGGCCTCAGACTATCCGGGTTTAGGGTTCACGGGTTTAGGGTTTAGGGTTTAGGGTTTAGGGTTTAGGGTTTAGGGTTTAGGGGCTACTGTTACAGGGAACTCCAGAAAGTTGGAATATGGTTTCTTGGTAGGATGCCCTATAATTTACCATAGAAGGGTTAGGATAATCATATTCCAGCTTTCTGGCTTCTACCTTAAGGGTACTGCAGGGGCACTACATGGGAGGTTCCGAAATTAGGGGACCCTAGGAGCCCTCCGGGATTTATATATAAGGGTTTAGAGTTTAAGGGTCCATATGGGAGTTTCCGAAAATAGGGGACCCTAACATAGCACCCTAAAGTCTAGGATCCTGTTCAATAAGGATGAATGTAAGGTGCCCCTAATTTTCGGAAACCCCCATATGGGCTCAGGGTTTAGGGTCATTAGACCCGATGAATGGATGATTAGAAATACTCAGGGCTCCTTAGTTATGGTATGATGTCGTCTTCCAAAGGTCCTGCTGCAATTCTTGAGGTTCCTGTTTGGGCAGGAAGTTAGGCTCCATGCTTTGATGCTGTATTCAGCCTCTGGTTGATGAGTTTTCTTACCTTTGGTTAGTAGGGAATGGAAGAATGGTAGTAATAGAAGTTATAATTGTACCCCATTCCTCCATTCCCTACTAGTCCAAGGTAAGTTTTTGGTTGCAGGTTTAGCACCTCAGGGTTAAGGGTTCAGGGGTCATTTTCCGTATTTGCTGGATCTTTGTAAACTTCTGCCCACCCTCGACCCTAAGCCGTAAGCCTTAAACCCTAAGCCCACCCACTCCGTTTTTAGATAGCCTACGGCCCGGCTTAATTTGTGCTTGCCTTGTGGCGTTTTCTCAGCTTTGCCGGTTTCTGGTCCGAAACGGTCCTAGCTACTGTGATGGGGAATACTTCCCCAAATCATAATCGTAATGCCAAAAATAGAAACCCCACATTCTACTATATAGGTACTTAGGACCCTTTGGGTGTGTTGCAGGGATATACCCTGTCAGGAAGTACACGACATCTGGGGGTTTAGATCTTTGGTGTAGTTTGAAAGCCGGGGGTTAGCTGGAGAAATCTCTTTCAGTTTCTGTCACCCCAAAGGGCCATAGAAGAATGGTTTAAGAAGTTCAGTTGGCAGGCTTCGTAAAGTTGACTTTTGAGAAGTGCCCTAGACAGAGCGTAGTCCCGGCGCATTGCATCTTGCAATACCAGGCCTACAAGCTTACGAAATCTTACCATCCTCCTGTCTAGGTCGCAGTCGCAAACTCCATAAACGACGAATTGGTGCCTTTGGGTTTCGCCTTTAGGGCTGTTGGCTTGGAGCCCTTGGGTTTATGGTGTTGAGACCTTATGGGCTTCCTTGTCAACAATAGTTCCCCTCATAGGCTCCGATCGAGATAACGATAAGTCAGAAATCCACGGGAAGTCGGTCATGACTTCCTGCGAGACCATCCAGCGCTCTGTGAATGATAAGAGCCATGTGAATGATAAGAGCGACTCGCCTCGAGCTTTGCAGGATGCTTCCTGGAGGTGCTCAGATAAAAGCGAACCCTAAGGGTCCATGTACTCATATAGTATATACATTGGCCTTAAAGTACTCCCTATGTATACATTGCGCCCAAAGTATATACTATTTGGGTACATGGACCCTTGGGGAGAGCAAAGTTTTGAAGCACAACCTGCAGGACACCGCCGGGATATAATAGGGCCCTAACATCCTATATCATCCTTATAGTCACTATTACAGGGTGGGGGCCCCTTCTAATCAATATCTGTGTCGCAATGGCATTCTCCAACGCTCGGACCTTCAGTATTGCGGCCACGTTGAACAACGTTATCCCAGAACAGCTCATGACCGCTCCGACAAGCCTTTAAAGGACGGGACGCCAGTGGGAGATTCTGGCTCAGGCACAACATCACGAAACTGTAAAGCTTCCCCTGAAACACGAAACTGCAAAACCCCGAGCCCTCAGCCATGTCTTCAGCTTAACCCGAAGCCCTATCCTGTCAGGACATGCCCGAGGATGTCCTTGCGAAGTTGGGCTCCGAGATTTGTTGTGTCATCCGGTTCCAAGGTTGACTCTAATAGTCTCCATTGTAGTTCCTTTTTTTGGTTTTCCAATTTTATAGTTAGGGCCCTATAATAGAGATTTTGGTTAACCAAAAAAAGGAACTACAATGGAGACTATAGGCAGGTTTCGCCTTGTTCCCACAGGAACAAGAACAAAGGCCCCATACCCGAAGCCCGGGTTTCAGGGTTTGAGGTTTCGGGTTGCATCCGGGGCTTCGCCTCAAGAGTACAGTGCGGATTGTGAAGGCATGCCTCCGAGTGTCAGGAATCATAAGGGTAGTTGTCAAAATTATGGCCCCTTTTTAGGCACCCTAAATATTAGGCCCCTGTTTAGGCACCCTAAATATTAGGTGCCGTATGATAATAAGGACCCAAAAAGGGACCATCATTTTCATAGCCACCCAATGAGTGTGAGGGCTTTTGGAGTCTCGGCTGAAAGAACTGCAGCGTGGAGTTCGCCGGGGCTGTTTCCAGCCCCGGGATCCCCAAGCTGTCAGCCCAAGTCCTTGTATATGGGAATTTCCGAAATCCGGGGTACCTTATTTTGGGGTCCTCATAATTAAGGATCCTGCTATTTTGGGTACTACATTAGGGTCCTTTTTTTTTGCAAACTCCCATATTGTCAGCGAATAGACCTTCAATCATGGTACTCTGTCGTCTATAGCTTCGTGTACCCTACACCCTAAACCCTGGTAATTAAGCCCCTCAGCCACCTGTGGCTTTCAACCAACCTAAACCTAGGCGGGGAGAAAAAGAGGGTTCAAACCCTGAACCCTAAACCCTAAACTCTAAACCGTTCCTCTTTGGGGTTTACGGTCTTAGGGCCTTTGTCTCGAGATCTTCAGGAATCTCCGGAGCTTTAGGGTTTAGGGTTTAGGGTTTAGGGGTTTAGATTTTATTCTTGCCGGTTCATGGCTTTGGGATTGAGGGCTTAAATCTCATCCTAAGGCCCTCAGCTCCAAACCCTCAGCCTGAACTTCAAAGTCCTTAGCCTCTATACGTCCTCAGCCCTAAATATTTGCACCCTGGGCCTTAAACCCTAAGGCCCGAACCCTAATCTCAAGCCTATGGGACGCCAAAGAAGCTTAAAGTTATGAGCTCCCTCGCATGGAAGACTGCCATGGTCATAAACTTCAGGGTTTAGGGTTTAGGGTTTATCCCCTTTCAGGTTGACGGATCTTCATTTACTCCAATACACAGCTGCATGCATACATGCACACACAGAGGAAATGTGCTAGGAAGTCGTAATAAGGAACCCGGCAAAGCAGGTGTTGTAGGATCCAGGCTTTGTATTTTAGCCCAACGGCCCGTGTGCCTACACAGCATAAATGCATTGGCCCAAGGCCCATAAGCGTATGATGAAAGCCCATTATCACAAAACCGTAATCCCGCGCCCCGTAAAACCCGTCACAGGACTTTAGTAATTATTCCAGATCAGTACATGTACCTTGGGAGTCTCCTGAATGCAATAAATGGAGAGTCGGGTGGCAGAGATGTATCCTAGCCCCGGGGTTGGGGTTCAGGGGTTTGGTCTTGGGGTCTGGGCGGTTGGCTTTGGCTTTGAGGTTCAGGGTTGGGAGCGTCAGCATTTGTGGCTGTCGGCTTCCCGTCGAGGTACAACGACAATGAGGATTGAGCGGAAGCTCACGATTGTCTCCTTGAGCACTTTTCTTGGCACCACTCAGCCATCGCAGTTGCTTCAGCATTTTGTAAGCTGTACGGTTTGGGGTTTTGACTACATCCCGAGCTTAATACAACCGTGGTGCCCAGATAAACCCTAAACTTAACCCCAAACCCCTAAACCCTAAACCCCTAAACCCTCAACCCTGAACCTTACAATCTTGCACTCAGAGCCCGGGTCCTTGAGAGAGGGTGGTTCAAGAAATCTTAGGGAACCTTAAGCGAACCTCAGCAAGCACTAGAGAGAACTAGGGATTAGTAGGTTGTCCACCCCCCTTGGATCCCCCTCCCCCCCATAAGGATACTATAATCCCTGGTTGCGGACAGGAGCCCGGGCCTAGCCACAAACGATCCTTCTTGATCAGGATCAGGCTTCGGGTTTAAGATGTAGGGTCATAGTAGAGAGAAGTTCATGCGGACCACAGGGGACGATGCTATTAGGAGGTGCTCGGGCCCCACAACAATAACGAGGCTTCTCTGAATACAGATTTCTGCATCTGGCTCTTTCACCGTGATCGCCTGTTAAACATGGAAGACTATTTTCGAACGACCCACAGTTTGAGGGTGGTGGCAGCCCTATACCCTAAACCCAAACCCTAAAAACCCTAAACCCTGAAACCATGTGGGCCATAGGATTTATGCGTTTGGGCTCCCGAGTCAGACCTAGTTAGGAGCCCCACTGCGGTACCATACTAGACTAGGATACCCAGTAGTACCCTTATTCCCTTTTTGTAGTCCTAGGTTCCTTATAAAGTTACCCAATACCAAAAAGAGAGGCCGTTTTATTCTTAGGTTACTGGGTATCCTAGTAGACCAAACACGGATCCCCTTTCTTGTGCTGAATCCACTTCTCCCAAACCCCAAAAGCTCTCGACTCCTACAGCCTAACACTGAAGCCATTAATTCAACCTGAACCCTCAAAACCCCTTCTCCCCCTGCTGCCTTAGTTTGCAACTTTGCGTTTTGGAGCTGCTTGGCCGTATCTCGTGGTGCCAGGGCTTGCGAAGAACATTCCGAGGGATCAGGAGGAAGCCGTACGCAGTGGGTTTACGGCTCGACACCCCCTGGGTTGAGGTACAGTCAAGGTTTCAACCATGCACATGCACCGGTTGTTTACATAAGGGTCTGAAAGATTACTGCAGAACACTAGTCCATAGGGTTCTGTCAGCTCAGCAAGGGCTGTGTTCCATACTGAGCAATACAGTGTGAGTAGCATGTTGGCCGTCTCTCAGGAGATCCGCCTATATAGTGCCGAACCCTAAACCCTAAACGCCCCTAAACTCATGTGATAAGCCAATTCCGGATAAGCTCTCAAACACAGCTTCAACCAAGGCCTGTGCAAATCCCAAACCCGGAGCTCGACATCCCTGTCGATCCGATGCCTCTGCTGTGCACCCTATGCATACTTAGCGACAACCACTAGCTGCGACCACAGAACTCGTACCTAAACCCACCAGAGTCGGTAGAATAATGGCCCAAAACCTATAAAAGGCTATTATTCGACATACTTTTGGGGGTCCAGGTAACCCTAAATCCTAAGGAGTTCAAAGCCAGTAAGTTTGGGGTACCCTGCTGCGGCTTCCTCCGGCTCACTCGTCCAACCTGTCAGAACACTGCTCACTTTGATGGCCCCTCTGAGATAAACCCTCAACTAAAGGCTATGTGGGAGTTTCCGAAAATAGGCGTAGCTTATATTGGGGTCCTTATAATAAGGATCCTACTATTTCGGGTACTATATTAGGGTCCCCCTAGTTTTGGAAACCCCTATGTGGGTGTCGGAAAAGTGTTAACAATGTCCTCTCGTAGTCCCTGTATTATTACACTGGACTTGGCACCTCCCCACTCCCCCGTTCCAGAAACAAACATACCCTAGTCGAACGAATACGGCCTTGTACTAGACCCGATGAAACAAACCTGAGGGGTTCTGTCATTGGGTGTCCAGCCTTCCGGCTTCGGAACCAAACCCTGCTATAGGTCCCTTATAGACTCCTGTTAAGGAAAGAGGCCCCTAATATAGATTCCTACTATAGATCCCTTATAGAAACCTTTAAGGATCGTCCTCCCAGTTGTTTGGTTCAGGGTGTATTGCTCAGTAGTTATCGCCTTTTTGGGTTGCTCTAATCCCAAAGCTTCACCTGTAGTTACCCACAGGCTCCATAGTAGTTCCTTTTTGCGGTTAATATTTAGAATCCTGAAAAGATAATCCCAAAAAGGAACTACTATTCAGACGGTTTGCATCGAGATCTGCACGGGATTTAGTGGGGACCCGACCTTACGCGACAAGGCAGAAGGCGACACACACGCTGCGTTTTTTTCCGGAATTTGAAGTGTGCAGGGCTGGAGGGCCCTGTAGGGCTTGTAGGCCTTCCAGGGTTTAGGGTTTAGGGTTTAGGGGGGTTTAGGGCTACAGGGTTTATGTCATACTTACCATTAAACGGGGCATCGAAGTGTGGAGAGTTCACTGTCCCGGCACGCGCCCTTTGCAGGCAAATGTAAGGTAGCTCAGCCCGTGGTGGGGCGACGGGAAGTACAGCCTGAGTTTAGTCTAGGTGTTGCTTTCGGACATTTTTTATTTTTGCCTTTTTTTGCCCGGCCTTGGATCAAGTCACTACAGAAGAAGTCATTAAGAGATTAGTCGTGGTAGTAGTAGTAGTAGTTGTTGTTGTTGTTGTTGTTGTTGTTGTTGTTGTTGTTGTTATGACTACTATTATTCAGATTTCAGACCTTGGGGCTCAAGGTCTTAAGATTTGGGGTTCAGGGGGCTTTTGGTTGAGGGTTCACGGTTTAGGGTTCAGGGTTTAAGGGTTTTTCAGTTTAGGGTCTAAGTACACTAACTAGCACTGTATTCTGATACTCTTATGTAATTATAATCGTAGTAGTAGTTGTTGTTATTGTTATTCAGATTTCAGACCCTGTCTATTGGGGCTGAAGGTCTTAGGGTTTGGGGTTTAGGGGGCTTTTGGTTGAGGGTTCAGGGTTTAGGGTTCAAGGTTCAGTGTTTAAGGATCTGGCTAGCCCCAAGCCCAGTAGTAAAAAAAAGGGTTTAAGGGGTCTTTCAATTAGGGTTTAGGTTTTACGGTTTCAGGGGTTTAAAATAGGGTTCCGGGCTATGCAGTACATACTCAGGCGTCAAAGTACCTGTATTATTGAAGGCTCAAGTATTGGGATTTAGTTCTAATAGCAAGGTTTGAATTTAGGGCTTGTAGAACTTGAAGCCCGAAATCCCTAAACCCCCCATTCAAACCCGATGCAACGAACCCCTAAAGAAGCCCTGTACTAGTTAGTGTACTTAGACCCTAAATTGAAAAACCCCTTTAAACCCTGAATTGTAAACCGTGAACCCTCAACCAAAAGCCCCCTAAACCCCAAGCCCTAAGACCTTGAGCCCCAATAGAGAATGGTCCGCCGCTGGGCGCCCCTCCATCGCTGGGCGCCGTCGACAACATCGAGGTGCCCGGGGAGAGTGGGGGCTTTTAAGTATTCAAAGGGGTTAGGCTGTAGTAAGGGTTTATATAAGGTTTGGATTATGGATGGTTTAGAGTTTAAAGCTTCACTTAGGGAGTTTCGGGTCAAGGGTTGTGTGCATTGGGTGTTGTCGGGTGTCAGACTCGGGTTTGGGGTAGGGGGTTATTTGCGGGAGGGATTTGGGTTTGAGGGGCATGTGCGGCTACCGTAACATTTCAGCGTCAGCCCTTAGGACTTTGGACATGTCATGTTACCATTTTAATCATTAGGCTTACCTTCGACTTTAGATGTTTTATTTCAGATTCAGTTCCTAGGTTCATGGGCATTGGCGATGAGCGCTTAGGCGACTGATTCCGATAAGGTGACACTTACACTCACAGCTACCTAGGCCTAGGCGATTGCAGGCGCAGGTAGTTGAAGGCGTAGGCGCAAGGCGTAGGCGCAAGGCGTAGGCGCAGGTGCAGGCGCAGGTTTAGGCGCAGGTGTAGGCGCATTCGTAGGCGTAGGCGCATTCGTAGGCGTAGGCGTAGGCGTACTCGCAGCCATGCCGCCTGTGGCGTTTCCTGGCCTGCCCTCCATGCCGGCGATCCCGGATGGAAGCTTCATCATAGCATGGGGGGCGGAGCACGAGTACAAGGCGACCGGTGCCTTGAGTCTGATTAAGAAATAGTCTTATTTATGAAATCTGTTCACTTATGTGATATAATAATAAGTCATACCAACTTTAAGTCAGTACTATGAATTTTCGATAGTTCTAGTAATAGCAATACCAATGTGGAGACTTATGCGGATGATAAGCATCATACCGTACTTCTCCAAGCAATAGCTACATTCTTATACTATTTGGGTTTTGATATTTGGGCCTCAATGCGGAGGCGCTGGCGGAAAAGGGAGGTCGATGATGACTGGGTATCTGAAGCGGACCTACCCGGATCACGTCCACATGTCGCTTGACGTGAGGCAAATGATGAAAGACCCTGCCAGGGAGCAGGAGAAGGGGCAGGCGAAGGCGTCGGCGTCGGCGGGGACGCGCGGGCGATCCAAGTCGCCCGGGCCGTCCCGGGCGGTGAAGGGAGACTTGGATTTTCAGGTATACGTTGTTTCTTGTATTTGGGAGTAGGGACACCGCTTGAGTTCAGTTGAGGGTTCGTGGTTAAAGTTTAATAATTTGCTACGGATGCCCACCCAGGCGAGTGGAATCCTCAGAAGAACGAGGATTTCCTCTTGGCGATGATGGACGAGCCTGGCTTTATGCGGGCGTTCATTACGGCGGTGGCGATGCTTCTTGGTTACCTCAAGGGGTTGGCGGCGTTCGATGGCGATCTCTGGAAGGCGCCGGTGCTGGTGCAGCTGATCTGCACCCTGATTGTATACAGCCTAGTTTTTTCTTAGTTTTTTTCTGTAATTTTCATTGGAGCTCTAAACCTCAAGTCATTTAAGCCTTTCATCAGGTGCGGCGGGGAAGCACAGGTCGGCGAGCGTGGCGGTGGC